TCGAGTTAGTAAGTCGAAATTTCGAGTTAGTAACTCGAAATTTCGAGATAAGTAAGTCGAATTTTCGAGTTAGTAACTCGAAATTTCGAGTTAGTAACTCGAAATTTCGAGTTAATAAAAAACATACACCTGGCACTAATGCTCTTCCGTAGATGCTATTTGTTCAACATTTTTCTGTAATAGTTTCATAAATTAATATTTTACATGAAATATTTTATGTCGGATTCTATATATAAAGAGCACATGAATTGTTGTTTCATATACATGTACATGTATGCAGAAACTGGTGAGATACTAGTATTTCAAATGGACAATGATGAAACAGTTCAGGAAAGACATAGTGTTTAAAGAGGATCATTAACAAAATATATAGAAGTTCAGGTCATACTTCGGGTGCTCATCTGTTCATTAACTATGAACAACCTTCAACATTGCCAGCTGTACGGCTTATTAATTAACTTAAACTATAAGCGGGACGTTGAAAAAAATCGATGTAGGAATTTATGTTTTCGGTCACAAAGCACAATGTATTTGAAACCCAATTTCTCTTTAAGATAAATTGCTGCCTTCATTTAATTCCGGACAATTATAGGAAAAAGGAATATGAAGTTATCAGAATAAATCCCTAGCAAAATTCGAGCCTAAGGTAGTCCCTGCTGTACAGTGGTCAAGCAAGTTTTAAGTAGCATCAAACTGTTTAATTCATAAAACAAATATTATTGAAGGAAGGTGTCAAATGTTCTAGGCCATAGCTTCACACAAGTTTCAAGTGTTTTCCTTTACAAATCTATCATAATAAACCGTGACTGGCAGGAAGATAGGACCAAGCATGACTTGATTATAGTGGTCTCCATACCACGGAAGTAAGCCACTTTCAGATCACCAGAGCTCAGTTTAGTCACCACATCGGTCCTGGGCATGCTGATTTCATGATCAATCACAACGGAGGTGACTTGCACCATCCGGGAATCTAACATGGGTCGGTGAAATCAGTCCGAAGCACCGAAACGCTCAAATCTGACCACAGGGGGGAGCTTAACAGGAGCCACCACCTTGCGGGGGTCCACGCTGGAATTTTTATTTCTCGATCACATTAGAGGGAGAATATAGTAATAGAAGAGTACTCCTAGGATCAAATCTATTTATAAATAACAAAGTTGAGAGTTTAAGCAAATTTCAATAACTTGATCTATGGTCAAGGTCAAATATAGGTCAAGGTCATACCAGAATAATTCAATGTCAGTTGTCATACATGTTCTTCTGTCCAAATATGAATCAAACCTGTAAATACATATAATGAAGTTATGAGAATTTAAGTAAATTTCAGATACTTGACCTTGGCGATCAAGGCCAAATAAAGATCAAGGTCATATTTGAATTATCTTACATTAAGGGTTCTTTTTGTCCTAGTATTAATCAAATACAACATTAATATTAACAAAGTTATGGCCAATTGCAGCAAAATTTACTAATTTGACTTTAAGTGTCAAGGTCAGATAAGGTCAATGTAAAGTTCAATTAAATCTTCTTTGATGCCTTGTCCTAAGGATTCTTGTGCAGAAGTATGAAGACAGTACATTCATTTATTACAAAAGTTTAGCCAATTGTAGTTTAAAACTATGAAATTACAATAAGGTAAAGGTTATTTAACGGTCAATGTCATATTTAGTTTGATTTTTTTAAGACATTGTCCTTACTTGTGCTCAAGTATGAAGACAATCCATTTATAAATAGCAAAGTTATAGAAAATTATAGCAATAATAATCAAGAAAATTCATAGACTTGACTTTGAAGGTCAGTCATTTATAAGTCAAGGTTAAGTTCAGTCTGGTCTACTTGAAGGGCTTGTCCAAAGAATTGCTGTGTCCAAGTATGAAGACAATCCATTTATAAATTACAAAATTATAACCAATTAGAGCAAAAATCAAACAGATGACCTTGAAGGTCGAGATCATTAATGAGTCATGGTCAATTCTGACAATGTACTTAAAGGATTGTTGTGTCTAAGTATGAAGACAATCGATAAAGAAATAAAAACTAGAAATGTGTCGTTATGCCACGGATTTTTAAGTTCAAAGCCCTTAAAACTATTCAATGTTAACACAAACCATTTTTATACAAAGTTCAAGGCACTGAAACTATTCAGTGTTAACCTTTCGTAAATTGCATATTGTATATTTGAAGCCAAAATAATGGCTACATACATTTCCACAAAAGTACGAGTGCTGAAACTGAAAATTCAAATTTTTTCCGACATTCAAGAAAGATAACTTTATCCAAAATCATTGAACCACGATCAAATTCAAACTTGAACTGCTTATTCCTTAGATGTATCTTTATGTCAAATTTGAGATGAATGTGTACAACCATTGCGGAGATAATGAACGGAAACTTAAAATTTCTGATTGTTTTTTAAAGTTAAAGAGAGATAACTCTGTCAGCTATCATCAAACCATGACCAAATTCGAACTTGACCTGCGCATTCGTTTGACATATCCATATGTCAAATTTGAGTTGAATATGTAACACTGTTGGGGAGATAATGAACAACAAGAGCTGTCGGTAGGACAGCAACGCTCGACTATTCATAGTGCTTGATAGTAAAAAACCCTTGATAATGAAAAATATTCTAAGTAAAGAAAAGGGTAACATTTTTCTTTAAATCCATATTACAGATAAAGGCCTTGGAGAGAGTCCTATTATGTTCTCAAAGAAGAGTATAAAATTTCAACTTGTTTCAAAGCCATGTGTCAATGGACTTTGAAAATATTTGAGGTATAACAAAAACGTAAATTGTAAGTCCAAAAAGGGGCATAATTCTGTCAAAATGCTTGATACAGTTACATCCCCCTTTCTACATGTTGGGGTCATGATGGTGAACAAGTGTGCAAACTTTCAAAGCCATATGTCAATGGACTTTGAAAATATTTGAGGTATTACAAAAACTTTAACGTAAATTCTAAGTCGAAAAAGGGGCAAAATTCTGTCAAGATGCTTGATACAGTTACCTCCCCCTGTCTACAGGTTAAGGTAATGATGGTGAACAAGTGTGCAAAGTTTCAAAGTCATATGTCAATGGACTTTGAAAATATTTGAGGTATTACAAAACCTTTAACGTAAATTCTAGGTTGAAAAAAGGGCATAATTCTGTCAAAATGCTTGATACAGTTAACTTCCCCTGTCTTCAGGTTGGGGTCATGATGGTGAACAAGTGTGCAAAGTTTCAAAGCCATATGTCAATGGACTTTGAAAATATTTGAGGTATTACAAAAACTTTAACACAAGTGGTTACGCCGACGCGGACGCAAACGGTGGGGTGACTACAATAGCTCTACTTATTCTTATCGAATAGTCGAGCTAAAAACTTCATACTATTTTCAAAGTGAAAGGGGCATTACTCTGCAAAAATCATTGAACCATGACCAAATTCGAATTTGGCTTGCGCGTTCCTTTGACGTATCCATATTTCTAATTTCAGTTGAATGTGTAATACTGTTGGGGAGATAATGACCGGACATTGAAAATTTCATATTATTTTCAAAGTGAAAGGGGCATAACTCTGCCAAAAATCATTGGAACCATGACCAAATTCGAACTTGACCTGCTCATTCCTTTGATGTACCCATAGGTCAAGTTTGAGTTGAATGTGTAATACCGTTGGGGAGATAATGAACGGAAACTGAAAATTTCATATTATTTTCAAATTAAAAGGGGCATAACTCTGCCAAAAATCATCGAACCATGATCAAATTCGAACTTGACCTGTATTTTATCATGACATATCCATATGTCAAATTTGAGTTGAACGTGTAATACCGTGTGGGAGATAATGAACGGAAACTGAAAATTTCATATTATTTTCAAATTAAAAGGGGCATAACTCTGCCAAAAATCATCGAACCATGATCAAATTCGAACTTGACCTGTATTTTAGCAGGACATATCCATATGTCAAATTTGAGTTGAATGTGTAATACCGTTAGGGAGATAATGAACGGAAACTGAAAATTTCATATTATTTTCAAAGTAAAAGGGGCATAACTCTGCCAAAAATCATCGAACCATGACCAAATTCGAACTTGACCTGTACTTTCTCATGACATATCCATATGTCAAATTTGAGTTGAACGTGTAATACCGTGTGGGAGATAATGAACGGAAACTGAAAATTTCATATTATTTTCAAATTAAAAGGGGCATAACTCTGCCAAAAATCATCGAACCATGATCAAATTCGAACTTGACCTGTATTTTAGCAGGACATATCCATATGTCAAATTTGAGTTGAATGTGTAATACCGTTAGGGAGATAATGAACGGAAACTGAAAATTTCATATTATTTTCAAAGTAAAAGGGGCATAACTCTGCCAAAAATCATCGAACCATGACCAAATTCGAACTTGACCTGTACTTTCTCATGACATATCCATATGTCAAATTTGAGTTGAATGTGTGCAACCGTTACAGATAATGAACGGAAACTGATGATGACGGAATGATGGAACAGGGTAACACTTTATGCCCCAGCCATTATATTGCGGGGGCATAAAAATAATGGCCAACGTTAAAGTTTCTGAATGGCTATGGGTACAACAACCCGACCATAGCAATAGCTCGAAACATTTCTAACTTTAGCTAAAAATGGAATCCTTTGAATAATAATGGAAAGGGCTCATCAAGCAAAAATGTCAGTTTGTTTTGCAAAAATGTGGACAACTACATGAAGTACAGACCGGGAGAGCAAGTAATATATGGCAGGTCATATGGCGACTTTCCAGCTTCACTGGCGGAAGAAAAACCTCAATTACCTCGAAGTACATTATTTCAGGTACAAGCATGAACGAAAGATTTAATGACCTTCCGTAGATAGCTGCTGGATAGCTTCCTCACATGAAAGAACCAGAAGTCCTAGGCAGGATTCTAACGGATGCCCCATATCATGGCTGCTGTTGTATTACCTTAAACAGTGCTAGTGAACTAATGAAAAATCAAAAGCAAGTTAAACGCCTTCAGTTTTATTTTCAAGGCAAATATGTATGATAAAATTGACATCTATGTACAAATTCACATTAACAAAAAGTCTTCAACAAAATTCTCATGCTGCATTAAGTTCAAATTCAGTACAGCACACATTAAAATGGTTATCATAAAAAATTCACAAAATCAGTAACAGTTTCATATTTCACTATAGTTCATACATTTAAGTAACATATGTGTGGGGTGTCTTTACATAAAAACATTTTGACAATTATTCAATCATCTCATATTATCAGGTATAAGCCCGCTTTCTAACTAGAACTTCAGCAGTCTGTGACACAGGCAACACAAAAAGATTATATACTGCATAACACTACAAAAATCACCCCAATATGATTCATTGTCTACTCAGCTCTTTTAAAAGACACTAACAGCATGTATTGTGGTTGCAATATCACACATTATTAGTTATTCTGTTACAAATGGGAGGATCTCTCATTGCACCATGTAAGAAAGTTAGTATGTCAAACACAAATGATAACAATAATAGAATTAATGCAGGAATGAGATTATTTTAACAATATCAGCTGTTTTTCTCTCACTTAACAAACACATAAAATAACAAGGATGGTGAATTACGAATATTGTAACCAATATTCTGAAGTAAATGATTTGAAAATGCCTATTTTTATATGTAATGATTAACTAAATGAATTGAGCATTTCTCTGTTAAATTTGCCTGCAAATGTGTGCTACCTTATACAATGTACATCAACAGAAAAATAAGCTAATTACATTTAGTTTTCATTATCTAAAAATAAAATAAAATATTTACAGCTCAAAGCCTGCCTTTATTACTGATGATTTAACCTGTTACCTCCATTGGGTTATAACAACAATAGCACAGATATTATGAGGTTTCCATAATGGTAAGACTCCTAGTCATGTGACTGAATTACAGATCAATTTGTTCCACATTTACAGGTAAAGTATCTGACAATTTGCTATAGATATAGACGATTTTTACAATATTTACCTCCCTTGCCAAAAGTGGCAACCATTTTGGGGGTTAATATTCTATATTATTGACAAAGCATGACAATATCAAATTCTTTTATACATATGAAGAAATACATAATTGTAGAATTATGAGAGACTTTTTTTATCTTATCTTAAGCATATGATATATTGGAAATGAGTCCCCTGGCCTGTGAAAGGCATCTATACAAGATTTGGTATGAATAATTCTAAAAAGACTTGGCTTTTCTAGCCAGCAATAAGTGTGTACAATAGTACACAAAATTTATGCATAATGGATAAGAAAAAGTAATGACAATAACTTGCTATAAAATCAAGTTAAAATATCATTTTCTTGGTAGTTAAAACAAAGATATATAATTTTGTCATATTAAAACAGAGAGGTATCATTCTGACAGGAAGGAATCTTGCTGCTGATTTTAAGGTACCGTACATAATGCTCAAGTTGCCCCATTAAAATGTTCTCGAGTTGTAGTATACATAAAAATTGTATCTACACCCATACAGGTCGGCAACATATATCCAGAAAATATTCCCCTACCCCTATATTGTATAGGGTTATACAAGTAAGCAAATCAAAATCTCTTGAACCCACCACCTCTACCTCCACCCCTGCCCCCACCAAATCCCCCTCCTCCTCCTCTTCCGCCTCCTCTACCTCCACCCCTGCCCCCACCAAATCCCCCACCCCTACCGCCTCCACCACCTCGCCCACCACGGAATCCACCGCTCTACCACCACCACCAACGACCTCCGCGACCTGAAATAAATGAAGATGAGAAGTATATAACATATAGTAATATGACCACTCTTAATGGTTTGATAAGGTTGAGATAAGTGACATTTTTAACAATGTTTATGTCCTAAATGATCAGGACAGTAAATGTTGAAATCAGCTGAAATTTGTGTAAGGGGTCAAGGCAGTCACGCCAGATGAAGCCCTTCGAAACCGCTTATAGTTTCTCTGATTTAAAGGACATGACTTCATTTTGTTGACTCTTTGTCAATTTTAACAGAAAATCTAGAGCTAGTAAGGTTGTGAAGAAGCCACCACATCTAAACATTTACAATAATATAACAAGAGCGATCAGTAATCACATGTGTCGCCTCATAATGGCCAATTTCATGTTGGGACAAATTTTGTGACAGACGGACAGACAGATGGACAGTGCACAACTAGACTTGGTACTGATCATTCATGTAAAGTTTGGATAAAATTGCACCAGTAGCTTATGAGGAGTAGTTCGGACAAGCTTTTGCGTATCTGGCAACACACAGAAAAAAACACCTTTTTATCAAAGGGCCATAACTCGGCCAAAAATCATTCAACCAGAAAACCCGTGCAATATGCGCAAGGACTTGACCTACAGATCAATCCTGTAAAGTTTCATTGAAATTGCATAAGTGGTATAAGAGAACTAGTCCGGACAAACTTTAAAAATAAAAATTATTAAAGGGCCATAACTCTGACAAAAATCACTGAACCGGAAAATGCTGACAATATGCACAACTAGACTTGGTACTGATCATTCCTGTAAAGTTTGGATGAAATTGCACCAGTAGTTTATGAGGAGTAGTCCGGACAAGCTTTTGTGTATCTGGCAACACACAGAAAAAAACACCTTTTTATCAAAGGGCCATAACTCGGCCAAAAATCATTCAACCGGAAAACCCGTGCAATATGCGCAAGGCCTTGAGCTACAGATCAATCCTGTAAAGTTTCATTGAAATTGCATTAGTGGTATAAGAGAAGTAGTCCGGACAAACTTTAAAATTAAAAATTATTAAAGGGCCATAACTCTTTTGAACCGGAAAATGCTGACAATATGCACAACTAGACTTGGTACTGATCATTCCTGTAAAGTTTGGATGAAATTGCACCATTAGTTTATGAGGGGTAGTCCGGACAAGATTTGTGACGGACGGACAGACATACGGACAGACAGACTACGGAGAAGTGATCCCTATATGTCGCCACTACTCCGTAGAGGCGACACAAAAATAAGGATAAAGTCCAGAGCATACCAATAATCAGGCTTGGAATAAACTGGCACAAATTTAAGGGGGAATATCATCTCCAATCAGGAGTCTGGTTCCTAGAACCAACGGTAAACCAGTACTGGTGTCATATGAAGAAACATGGCCACAACAACAGTAAGGCTTAAACCCATGATGCCTGGGCTATAAAAAAAAGACACCCTAACAACTAGGCCACTAGCCACTGCTCCTCACCTCATTCATAATTGATTTTCAATATAGTTGAACTATCCAATAATTGCATTTTACCTACTTTAATTGAACTATACAGACATGCACCTTATTTGTAACTTGAACAAATTCAAATGACGTATTTCAGAAAGTTAACACTTCCATTTCTACATAAAAGTACTGTATAAATCATGCAACTTACCACCACCACCTCTGCCTCCACCACGTCCACCTCTCTTGGGTTGTTCGAGAAATCTTTGCAGTGGTAATAACTTGTATGGGTCAATAAAAAACTGAAAATAATCGAGCCTCATTTTATATAGTAATTCTAGATAAAGATGTAAGTTTACAGAAAGAGTAAAAGACTGCAAAGAATTTTATCAAACAAAATGACACATATGCTGTCTGTCCTAAATAAATGATTTATGTAAAGTAAGAATAAGTTACAATTATGAAAGTCACAGAGAAAATGATGTGTAATAAAATGTGAATTTATGGAAACAAAGAAGGTTGTTACAATAACTTATTAATTAATTATAAGGAATTTCTGTTGCAATATGAAACTAAAATTTTTTGATATCAAACATTGAATATTTTCATATTCACCTATTTAATCCATGCAAATAACTGTATCTCTTTAGTTTGCTTTTATCATGCAAGTAAAAACTGATAAATCATACAATCATACACAAAAGATAAAGGAAATGAAGAACTACGAGCAACATATGTTCCAACACGAGACATGAAGTTTTTAACACATTTGTTCTGAGCAATTCAAGTAGGCGTGTAATGTAGTTTCTTAACCAATCAAAGACATTGTGATACAAACTTAAAGCAACACCAAGGAACAAAACCACCTCACAGTAAATTGAACCCATTTAGTTGCCTCTTATGATCTCGCAGAGATAAATGGTGGCTGCAATTCTGATGCCTTGAAGGCAACCCCTCAGTCAAAAAAGGAGATATCCGTCTACAAATATTTCATACCATTCTTGTGCTGGTATTCATAATTTACTGAAGTCAGGGTTAAATAAAGGCAGCAGCATGGTCAGACAAAGAGAACTTCACAAGAGAAAAAAACCAAGTTCCATATCAACATACTCTTACAAAATGACATTTCTATAATACCTCTAGACCCTTCATATTTTCACAATATTCATTGTGATGTGATAAAAGTAAATGCAGTCAAGTCAAACTGAATTTTATTTTCAAGCCTTTTCGCAAGTAATGAAATGCTATTGAGATCATTATAAGAGCAATTATCATGCCAAATTTTGAAATATCTTACCTTTTGGTCTTTAGAAAAAGAGCCTGCTTTCATGTTGTCTGATAATTTTATAGAAAAATACTAAGTTATGGTTAAAGAAAACATGTTTAGTTCCCTTCAAATTAACGTGTTAACAAAAAATTGTTTACACTAAACCATTACTTCATGAAGGGTATAAACTACTACATAGTATCAGTGCATATATTAAAATGTTATTCAGTACTGTTACTCACAAACCTATGTGGTACTTATATTCCGTACTGGTACCAAGCATTACCGATCAGCCATACAAAAAGCTATAAAAATATATAGGCATACTGAAAACAGTTAAAAATACAACTAAAACTATCAAGTATTTAAGGGTAGAAAGCTGTATTGGATTATCTGTAACTACATATACACTTCTGCATATTTATGAGAACCATTACGGAATTCACATCTGTAATTTTCAGATAAACTGTGTAGTATTGAGGTGCATAAGATCATTACTTAACTACTAAATACAGCAGCTGAATACTTTTTGCACACCATTTTTTTTCCATTATCAAGTATAATAATAGATTAATGTTCTGGTAAAAGTAAAACTAACTCTCTCCAAATGTGTGCATTATGAATATGAGATTAATTTACAACAGCATCACATAGCTGGGGCAATTTACATCTAAATGTATTTCTTTAAGTAATCAAAGTTTTACAGCCATCAAAAACTAGAACTGCCACTATCATGGCGTGAATACCCCCGCATACCACTTTGTCAGAATCAACTGTGGCCATTTAGAGCTCAAGGACAACCTCCCTGCCAAATCTGAGGTTACTAAGCCAGTGCATTGCTAAGTTATGTATTCTACATGCTTCAAATGTGAAAATGTCAAAATCAATACATTGCCGACAGGACATTCTTTAACAATTAAGAAGAAAAGCTTTTTTTGTCAAGGTCCCTGTGACCTTGACCTTTGACCCAGTGACCTCAAAATCAATAGGGGTCACCTTATAGTCATGATCAACATCCATGCCAAATATGAAGACTGTGGGTCATAAATGGGTGGACAAACTTTTTGAAGTCAAAGTCCCTGTGACCTTGACCTTTGACCTGGTGACCTCAAAATCAATAGGGGTCATCTACAAATCATGACTAACCTCCATTCCAAATATGAAGACTGTGGGTCAAAGGAATCTAAAGTTATTGGGCGGTCAAGCTTTTTGAAGTCAAGGCCCCTGTGACCTTGACCTTTGACCTGGTGACATCAAAATCAATAGGGGTCATCTACTAATCATGACTAACCTCCATTCCAAATATGAAGACTGTGGGTCAAAGGAATCTTAAGTTATTGGGCGGACAAGCTTTTTGGAGTCAAGGCCCCTGTGACCTTGACCTTTGACCTGGTGACCTCAAAATCAATAGGGGTCATCTACTAATCATGACTAACCTCCATGCCAAATATGAAGACTATGGGTCAAAGGAATCTTAAGTTATAGGGCGGACGAGCTTTTTGAAGTCAAGGCCCCTGTGACCTTGACCTTTGACCTGGTGACCTCAAAATCAATAGGGGTCATCTACTAATCATGACTAACCTCCATACCAAATATGAAGACAGTGGGTCATAGGAATCTTAAGTTATTGGGCGGACAAGGTTTTTGAAGTCAAGGCCCCTGTGACCTTGACCTTTGACCTGGTGACCTCAAAATCAATAGAGGTCATCTACTAATCATGACTAACCACCATGCCAAATATGAAGACAGTGGGTCATAGGAATCTTAAGTTATTGGGCGGACAAGGTTTTTAAAGTCAATGCCCCTGTGACCTTGACCTTTGACCTGGTGACCTCAAAATCAATAGGGGTCATCTACTAATCATGACTAACCACCATGCCAAATATGAAGACAGTGGGTCATAGGAATCTTAAGTTATTGGGCGGACAAGGTTTTTGAAGTCAAGGCCCCTGTGACCTTGACCTTTACCTGGGTGACCTCAAAATCAATAGGCGTCATCTACTAATCATGAGTAACCACCATGCCAAATATGAAGGCTGTGGGTCATAGGAATCTTAAGTTATTGGGCGGACAAGAAAAAACCGACGGACGGCCGGACGCCGGACGGCCAGACGGCCGGACGGACAAGCTGATTCCAGTATACCCCCCTTACAACTTTGTTGTGCGGGGGTATAATAATTTTTATTAAATTACAGAAGAGACAAATTCATTACACTTGTCCGGAAATTATTTTATTTCATTAACATTATGTTCCACCCATTATAGCTTGACACACTTTAAATATTGCATTCTTACTAATGTAAAAGGATACAAAATCTTTAACTGGTCCAAATATTTCATCAACTTTTCCAATTTGTTGTTTGTTTTCCAGGAATATAGGTGCATTGAAGTATGGTACTTTTTCATTTGTACATTTACAAACAAGGTCATCTTCACATGTATGTTTCATAGTGCCTAATTCTGAAAAACAATTAAAACAATAGTTACATTAAAACGCCATTATTACTATATAAAAGTATGGATACTGAAGGCCTTTTCCTAGCCCAGTTTGGGAAGTTTTGAATTGTAAAATTGCTTAATTGGGAATTTGAATTTTATGACATTGTTTAATTTACTCACGCAAATTTCAACTGAAACACAACAAATATAACAAGAGGGCCGTGATGGCCCTGGATAATACTCACCCGAGATACATTGCTAGAAAAGACCACAACTTTAATTTTTCAATGTTATAGTCAGTAATCAGATCACATTTGGTTTGTCATATTTTACCCAAGCTTTAACTTAAATTTAACCTCTGGAGTCCTGCTACAAATGCTACAAAGATAAAACAAACAAGACCCAGAAGTCTAGTAAGAAAGAAAAGTTTGAAAAGTGTACAAAAGGAACAGACACATACCTACAACAGATTCTGGTGGTCCCTGATCATAGCCTCGGTTAAAACCTCCTCCCCCGCCACCTCGACCTCCTGTAAATTAAATTAAAGTAACACACATACATGACATTAACCTTGGTGGTAAACGACTTATGTTTGTAAAATTGTAAGTTAAGCAAGTTGGATTTAAAATGTTGACAATTAACAAAAATTCATTGGCACTTTTCACAAACAGTCTGGATAAAACAGTATTGATAAAAAATCCCCTCGTCAAAATGAAGTAAAATTTAGTTTATGTTACCAAAGGAAGAAGAAAATATACCTCTAAATCCTCCTCGGTCTCCACCACCTCGCCCTCTGAACCCTCCACCACCACCACGACCTCCGCCACCTCCACGGCCTCGAAACCCACCGCCGCCACCACCACGATCACCAAAACCCATTATTTAATTTAGATAGCTGTAAATGGTAAGTTTTTCTTCTTCAACATTGATAAAAATAAATTGTCTTGCATGCAATTTACTTTTTAGTAAACCCAATAATGAATAATAAAAAACACAAATAATTATTTTAATAAATCATAATCTTTTCTACAAAAATTCGATCTTTAAATCAAATAAATTAGGAAGATTACTGATGTTCAAAAAAATGGAGACATTAAAAAGTTTAAATAAGATGTCGCGAAAACTTGTGACATTCTTATTCATACTATTCAACGTTATTAATTAAACATTGGAGATATAGAAAAAACCAGCAGATATAAAAAAAAATACTTTCTTGTGAAGATCTTATTTAAAATAAGTAAATACCGTCGCTTTTGCAGATCAGAAATGTTTACCGCTATCGGGAAACTTACCACGTGTTTTTACAATTTATGCGTCCCTCTTTGCCACAAATTTACAAAATGACCTAATGATAACGAAACAAATCGTGTCAGTTAAATAATGTCAGCGATTTAAAAATGAATATTTGTAAAATATTCTGCAAATTCAAAGTAAAGAATTGCCAAAAATGTTATTTAGCATGAAATGTCAACAATTCTGTGAATTTTAGGCCTGACACTACTATTTTATTGTTTATAGGTATAAATGCACTAAATTTATTTCATATTCATATAAAAATATATATTGAACACCACTAAATTTATGTTTCTACACAAATTTAAGCTACTGTATGTATTTATGCCCAAATAATAATAGAGGAAAGACAGCTCTTCCTACATCTTAACAGTTAAAATAGTTTACTGTATTCAGTCGTGAACTGACTACCCCATGACAGAGAAGGGACAGCTACAGAAGTATGAAGTGCAGGAACTTCATGTAACCGTGGGACTAATTTCAGAATGAAACACAGGACACACATCTAACAAGGTGGAACACGGTCAAGAAAAGCGAAAAATATATGAATAGCAGTGTAAAATATCTGGAAAGAGGTGATAGGGATAAAGTATGGCATGGGGAACTTCTAATTAAACGGATGCATAATTATGGTCTATTAAAGTAAATTTAAACTAAAATGCTCATCGGTCATCATAGTTTTATGACATAATTTACAACGTCCTTTCTCTCATATTGTCTGATTATTCTCAATATATATATTTTCCATTCAATAATTAAGTTTAAATTATAAAACTTTTTTTTGACACACATATATATAAACGAATTCAAATTACTACTCCAGGTTTATTTTAACAATTTCACAAACATTTCTCTTTTAAACACTTTAAATGCTACTTTCTTTTGCATATCATTGTATAATGTACCAAAAAATTCGACGGTATTCAACGGTCTCCTGTCTCAAAATTGGAAACTGTTTAAGTATTTGGAATTAACGCTTATCGTCGATTGATGGAGATTCCTCAATAAAACCAAAACTAAAAAGATGAATGGTAAACTGATCTTCATGTTTGTCAGATATTTCCATCCCATTTGTCCTCACAAGTTTATTCTACTTCTATGTAAAAAAAAACAGGCATAAATTTTGTCAGTAAGGAGGAAATAACATTATAGCACACAAACATAATATACATTTTATTATTGAATATCATCCAAATCATTAAGTACACAATTAACGTGGAAAAAAGAATTCGTCAACAAAACTTATATCATATTAAACAATTTTTGTGAAGTAAGTTCTTCTTCCAAACTGTAAGTAACAATTATTATATACCGGTATATATTTCATATATTTATATCAAACTGTTATTCCAAGGAAGCACCAGCATTTTATTTGTTCTTTTTTGTTATTTGCAAAAATATAAAGATTATATAATTGAATGCCATTTGTATAGTTAAGGTTTTTTATTATCTTCCAAAAAAGGCATTTTTGTATAAATTGTTATTTGCCATAAATCATTTCATTATGATGTTGTCACTTAGAATAAAACAACAAAACTCTATATGATTATGCGAAATATTGATTTTATATTGCAATGATATGTTTTATTTTGTTAAAATGTTTAAAATTAAATAAAGATGCAGTCATATTTTAATAACTTAAAATGAAATTATCCTTTTATATTATTAAAGTTTATTTAAGCTCTATCAGATGAAATATTTTATAAAACAAGAAAATAAAACAATAAAATTCTGTTGTTTTCTTGAAAGAGTTTTAATAAATAATGTCTATATTATTTGATAGACATGAATAGTGTACGTAAAAAGAATAAAATATTCCGGAACGAAATAGTCAGCTACCTTTTTTAGTCGGTTTGGCGATATTTTAAGGCAAGTCCCAATCTCTTGAAATAGAATATAATATATAAAATAATATAAAGTAATTTCAATCCAAAAAGGAGATGCCAAAATAATACTTAATAGATCGATACGTTCACCAACATTAAATCTTTTTGGCTGAAATTCCAACAGCAATTATGGTGTATAAATCTTTTGACATACTGGCAAATATGGGTGAAATTTTAAATTTCTTTTACTATGAATTACATAATTTACGCTCAGTCGCTCATAAGGAACTTGTTCTGAAAACTATACGTCATACTAATCATTTGAAGGATTCTTTTTCTTACGACAGAATTGATGTTTCTAACAAATTACCTCTTACTATCAAACAATGGTTGACTTTACAATATAATACATGATGCAAAATGATCACTTTATATTGTAGCTGCTGTTGTAAATGTCTTATATCATGATGCTACAACTTGTAGCCTACAACTAACAAAGTTGAAACATATTCATATAATTTGGACACACAAACACGCACGCACGCACGCACGCACGCCCCCACGCATATACACGAACAGACACAATTTGTTTCCTATGAATAACACTTCTTACATGTAATTTTATTATTGTGTGTGTGCCTGTTTGTTTTGCTAGAAGCCGAATTTCAAACCAACTTTGACTTTTAAGTGAAATATATCATAATAAATTCTATTTCAGAATTAAGCAAAATATATGCTTTATTAGAATAAATTCTATTTCAGAATTAAGCGAAATGTACGAAGCAAAATTAATGGAAACAAAACATAAAGTGCATTGTTTTGAAAGATAATTATGTAAGTTACGCTACATTGTGAAATACAATGTATATTTCTAAATTTAAGATAGCAATGATAAAAATAAACAAAATATTTAGATAAATATTTTAAAACAAAATAAAACGAAAACATTCAGTTAATTAATTTACATCGAAATAAATGGAGACAGAATATACCGATAAATATAATGAAATATAAATGGAAACAAAACATTTGTGGGAAAAAATGCTTAAATAATTAATACAAATTGAATTAAAACAAACTAAATATAAAGTAAAAATTGCAGATATTAATAAAAAGTATTTATCAAAAATGCACTGTATGGAAACAAAAAATTGCAGTGAAATATCAAGAAATACAATTAAATAAGAAAGACTACATTGAAGCAAAATAAAATAAAGATAAAAAATGTAGGAAAACAAAAAACAAATAAAATGAATGTAAAAATATGAATTATGAATCCGCTATATTTATTTTACTTGAAGCAAAATAAAAAACATGTAAAATAAAGATAAAAAATGAAAGAAAACAAAATAAAATAAAAATTAATGTAAAAAAAACAAACAATTATGTATCCATTCCTTTTATATTTTTTATTTCACTTAATTAAAATTGACATACATTTCCTCTTTTCTGTTGTTTCATGCGAGAAAAAAAGATGAAATATGTCGAATAATATCAAACATCAAATATTTTACTGTCTCTGTTTCTTCCAAAACTTAGTCAACTTTCGCACAAAATGAGTTTTTTGTACTATTTAAATGATGTATAACAAGTGTTTGTCAATTGTTAAAACAATTGAATAAGCTGAAATTTAAAAAAAAGCAACAAAAAACCCCACATATTTTGCTAGTTTTCATGTAAGAAATAAAATAATTATCATAAGAAAACCCTCATGGTTTTCAATAATTTTCATGCGAAATGTTAAGACTTCATAAGAATAATATCTAGCACATATATTTTGATTTATCTAATTATTTATGTTCTAAATTCTTTCTTTGAATAAGGAATTGTTTATCATAAGAAGAACTCCACTTTTTTCGGTAAAGAACGACAGAAAGCCATGTTACATGCAGAACTCGATTGTTCAACATTAATTTAGAACTAATATCATCATTTAAAAATTATGAAAACAAAATATAGATAATACTATAAAGATGACCAAATTGTACTTACTAGTACTGTACTTCCTAGATGATTAAATTCCTTAAGATTTTAAATCCTTTAAAATTCTCATTTTCACATAATATGCAATGCATTTCATATCTCTCTTTTTTTTGTTCAAATATAACTAAAACTGATCCATAATGATTAAAAACAATAAGGTAATCGAACGTTGTGTGTTGTTATTGTAATCGTTTAAGAAATTGCTAAGAATACAAATTGTATTCGTGCAATGTTTGAATAATGTGTATACCTGTATAGTATTTTTTATACATTTGCCAAATCTTTTCATGTAGGAATGGTTATGACTCCACGCCACTTGCCCCTAACCTTTGCCAGTTTATATCACGATTACAACAAAAGGAAGCTATCCCATTGGTTTAACTAAGATAAAATGTGTTTTCTTTTCTTTTCATTTTTTGCTCATTTATAGTTTATCTAATGTCTTCGTTTGAGAGATAAAGAAAGATGTAAAAAAGCGCAAAGCAACAACAAAACTTTATTTTGCCTGAAACTTAAAACATTTTATTCTAAATTATAAAAAAATAGAGTACAATCCTGATATTAATAGTTTATATACAATAAAATATATAAGATAATAATAAATATCAATTAAATAAATTAATAAAATTAATATATTTTTCCTAATCAATTGAAATATTATCAAATAATATACAAACTTTTAAACTCAGAGCTTCAATAAAAGCAATTTCACACGGGAGTCATTTTGAATTAATCAGTGTAAAGCAAATTCAATACGATGCTTCTGGCTGACATGAACACCCCATAGCACCGATTTAATATATCGAATGTTCATGTCTTATCAAAAAAATGAATAAACATTAAATTAATTAATTCATTTTACGCAAATATTTGAGATTAAAATTAAGGTAGTCTTTAATATAAGCGATCTTTCATCTAAATGTATGACGACAGTAAAATGTTGCAATTCACTTCAAGTTAGTGGTGAAATGTGTCATTGGATATATCTCCCTTTAAAAATATTGCTAAATGTCATTATATAAGCACCGAAATAGAGAAAAATAAAGAATCTCTAAAGAACGTACAAAACGACAAAATTGAAAAAATGTTGCAGCCTCGGTTTGATTGAGCCTGTTCATGGACGGTAATGAAATGTGCACGCCCCCTAGCTCCGGCTTCAGCAGTATTCATCATTTAACATGAATTGGTAACATCTGCAGATGTGTTCACATGGCGGTTATCATGGAACCTTCAATGTGACACGATACGTCGTTAGTGCCATTCCATGAAAAGCGGCATATGGTCCTCAAATAAAAATGTGTTTGCCCTAAACGAGAAAACAATGGGCGGAACCAAATTAAAGGAGATCAGAGGTTATGAAGCCTGTATATCACAGATAATATGTCAAAAGACACGTTTAAAATGCAGGTCACACTTCCTAAGGGTTATTTAACAGTATTCAAGTGAGGAATAATGGAACCACGTACACAACTAGATAATAGCCGGATGGAAAGAACTAAAATACCACAAGCACAGCAATAAAGGCGTGCCGAACGATCTTTAAGGATCGGAAATATAACATCCCTGATTTAATGTACTTGGCGACTTTTTTTACAACATCCTGAATTCGTGAATGCGAATTTATAATTAATATGCTCTTCTTATTTTCATACCTAAAGGCTTTCATAAACGTGATTTCAAGCTATGTAACTCGGACAACAGTAATTTTTGTATACCTTAAAGCGGTAATTAAGTACATAACACGTGATTTGATATTTATATTATATTACATATAAGGAAATATGATGGTCAAACTAATTAATGGTCCAAAAGCGTGTAACAAAGTCCTCTGTTTAAAGTATCAGTTCATTTCAATTCAATTCAATATTTTATTGGGCATAAACATATACAATGGTCAACGCAAATAAGCAACTGTATGGCGGATATAATAAACAATTGAGAAAAGTAAGTTATTACAAAGTTACAATTGTAGATAATACATGCATTTAAAGATTAATTCGGCAATAAATGACATTAAGTCATATACAATTCATTTAAATTATTTATCAGTATCATTACAAGACAGGGAGTAGTTAACAAGCTATTACAATCAATAAAAACTCATTAAAAATGATAAAAATGTAATTTGGTCATTACATGTTTCTCTTAACATTACCTAAATATATAAATCTTGATGTTTGTTTAAAGACTATGAATGCCATGACACTTTTAGTACCATGACATTCCTTACAACGTACAAGTCTGACAATCGTAAATTAATTAGTGTAACATTATAATTATCTTATCAATATTTGAAATTAATTGTATGAAGTGACTGATAGTGTGGGATGCATTTAACTAGATTTTAAAGTGTGTTACGATAAAATGGATAGAATCTGTGTTATTTCCATAACAATCTGGGAAATGTTCTTAATTTCTCAAAATTTTGTAAAATTACTTAAACAAAAATGTGTTACTTTTTAGCATAACAATTAAATCGGATAAAGGATAAGATCAGAAAAACTGGATACTAAAATAATGTTCATGAACATGCATTATCACATGTTCTGACCCTTTTTCAGAAAGATAATTAACTTGATAATTAATTTTACTTAATTAATCTTTATTTTTATATAAATTATTTCATGAAAAATAAAGTACATTTTTTATTGATAATGTATATACAACATGTACATGTATTTCCACATTTTTACAACATTATCTCAATAATATTTAAGTCCGACGTGGTCGCAAAGGGAATCCTTAAAACATCATAATTATTTTCCATATCTTTTTATTGCAATTTTGGCCACAAAGCTATAGAGACATCATTTGCTTTAGGAATAATGCAAAGTTGACTTAGAAATGAGGCAAAACAATTAAACTAAATTTATCCTACCTGAGTATCTTGAAAAAAGGACTTTTTTAAGATTTATTTTACTCATATGAGGGCGTGGGGTTCCACATTATTATATTATTTACATAATTAGTCCATTCCTAATCAAAGATAGCCTTTTGACAAATACTACAAGAAAGATGCATACTTTTTTGAAAATCTATATTTTTACCTTTAAATAGTTATAGCTTTTATTAAAGGTGTTGCTGTTGACAGATTTTACGGTTGATATCATGTGATGTTTTAATATTGCATTTTTTAAATCTGTAATGTATTTGCGTATATGTGTGTATGTATTTTATATATACACATATATATGCCCGTAATATAACAGACTATAGTTTTTTGTAAAATATCTCTTGTAATTCTACTCAAAGAATGGCTATGTACAATGTAAAGTTTATCTTTTATGTTGAAATGTATGTAATTGTGCACACATGAGAATATAATAAATAATTATAATAATACAATAATTATTAAGACAATATTTATAAAATAATCTATTTTCTTATATACAGTAATTAGAACAAGATAAGCCTGTCATATTGTGAAATATTCTGGCATTTTAATCAATACTTTATAAAAAGAAATTTTTCAATGGATGGGGCAGTCATACTTCTTCTGAGAGTTAAGTTATTAATTTTACGGTCGGGGAAGGGGGGTATATTGCACTTTTTAGTATCCCTCATGGACAGAGGATTTTAAATTGCCGGTTAAAACATATCATGCATTATTAAAGAGTATAGAGTATAGAAGCAAATATGGTTAATGGAACCAGTAAACAGCCTCATAAGTGCAGTAACTGGTTAACTCCTTATAAATATATATATATTACATTTTTTAAAAAAAATATTGTTCGTATGTATATGGATATTCATTTTTTTCATAATATTAGTTACGAAGCTGTTTATACTATATGAAAAAATCTCACCAATAAGCCTTGACCAGTATCTGTCTCTCTCCGATTAAAATGTACAGAATCAGAATTAAGACCAGGTCTAACGTAATCAATGACCATAAATTTTGTAATATAATTTGTACGAAACAAGTTGCTTAGAAAACTATTTATACAGAAAGCAAATTAAAAAAAAAAACAGAAGTATCAGAAATGAAGATTTATTTCCACACTGTGCCAATCATATTCTTTGTTACTGACAACTAACTTAAATGTGTATAATTATTATCACTCAGATTATCATGGCAATAGTTCTAAATTACTAAAACATAAGCGCTTTAGCTGAGCAAATTCTGCAGAAAATAATCTAATTGCTTATAACATTAATTGTTCCACTAAATGCACAGTGAGTAGGTTATTTTCCGTTCAACAGACAGAACGACTTGATGCGTTTGATTATTCTAGTAAATGCTTTAATTATAAAATGTTTAATCGTGAATTCGATTTTGAGAAATATTTAAAACTGTTTCTCTTTTATCTTGCTATTTCGTTATGTAAATTTGTATGTATGAAACATAGCTCACCTATGAAAAAGGAACAATTTCATAATATACACTTGAGACAATAGATTAAAGTTTTGGACATTGGCAATCCTTTGAAATACATTAATTGTATGTTTCAAATAACATTTTAGTCTTACTGTACTTCAACTTTCCATCCTCTACACGCTGTAAATGATATTTTGTAATGATGTGTTGTTAATAATAAATGAGCTGTGTCATGACAAAACCAACATAGTTGGTCGCTATCAGTTTCTCTACTTGTACTTGGGTTTGTACGCGAACAGCAGACTGCGCGGATGCGCAGGCTGGTCTGGATTTATGCTGGTCGCAAACGCACTATGTTGGTTTTGTTATGGCGCGGCTCATTATTATGTTATTTGTCGTGTGACCTTATGGGTCTTGACTTTTCCACAAAAATAAATGAATGAATAAATAAATAAATAAAAATAGAAACTTGTAATGGTAAAGTAAAACATCTATTGGGCTGCTTGCGAGAAAAATGAATATAAATGACCAGTGAATTTTTTTAATCAGTTCATCCCTGTGTATTTTTCAGGAAGTTAACCTGAATACAGATAACCCCAGCCTAAAATTCACAAAGCAGTACGTGAAACATTCTATGTATTATGCAAAATATGACATAATTTTATTTTAATAGGTACGTATACGACTAGTTTGAACAACATTTCTTCTCTTAAGAACAATTTTAACATTTTCAACACATTTTCAAAAAGCAACACACTTTTGGATGTGTTTAATTATGGTCAGTTTGATTTTATCTAAAAACTATTCAAAATGTTGCATTTAGACGATTCACGGTATAACATTTTGTTCTTATGCTATTTGGAAAAATAAAATAAATAAAAAAATTAAAAGTTTTTCTCACCCCTGATTCATGCTCCTAATCCAAATACAAAATATATTGTTTTGAATACTCAACATTTAATATTTATTGATTTGATACTCATCAAATGGGAAGGCTAGATATTATATATGACTGAGGGTCAGTGGGACTTGGGAATGTACATGTAGGTCAAATAATTGAACTATATCATCGTTGTCTCTGGACAGAAATCCATAGAAATTCATACTAAAATTAAAAATCGAGTAAGCCTTGAATAACCTTATTATACTAGGCAAGGTATTAACCGTGCTCTTGTTGACTCCATTACGGTGTTATAACATGTTACTATATTTAGTAATATAATCTTAAGCTATTCCCAAAATAGTTTCTCCACTCTTGAAATTATCTAAATTTTTCACCATTTTTAGCTTTTTCGAGTACCTAAGCAACGATAACAGTGTTATTTATACAAATATGACGGCCTTTCCGGTTACTTTGGATTATTTTTTCCGCTCATTATCAAGGATGGCTAGATACAGGAGTTGTCAATAGGTTTGTTGACCGTAAATAACCGACTTAACTTGTTTCAAGACTTTAAAATTGCAAAAGCCAAATTTTTAGATTCAAAATTGGTAACCAATAGATTTTAACATGTGAAGTAGTAGCTCTTGAAATCTCAATTTTTAAAGGTGTTTGAAAAGAAAGAACATGCCCCTTTTTCTTGCACATGCGCAATAGATGAAATCTTTAAACAAAAGACCAAATAAAATAGGAACGCAACATGACTTCCATCTAAAGTTCTCTTCTCACGAACGCAAAGAAACATTTGAAAAAAATACGGGAATCGTTGACTGAGTGTAAAATGGTTTTCTTAGTAGTACTAGTGTTAGCGGCAGCCTTCTTGGGATATATGTAAGTACCTTTCTTTAGAATTCTATGCAGAAATATTATTTTGTACTGTATTTGTTAACATTCATCCTTTTTTTATTAGAATTCTATTTTGCATAATATAAAAATACAATATAAATAAATAAATCTGAAATATCATAAATTATGACACTCTAAATGAAAATATTTTATACATTATATTTTTACTGAAAATGAATATTCATATGTTTAAATACTCAATAACGGTAATCAACATTTTCTTTGACTTCTTATTATTTTAATCATGTAATCATTAGATTCTGATAATGTACTGTCTCCATAAAAGCAACGATTCAATGCATATAATCATATAATTAGTATTATAATGATCAAAGAGGTGCTTTTTTACCAACATTACCTTTTAGTCTTTTAGTAACTTTTAGACATGTAATGAATGTTGCATATTGCATTTACAGATACCTAAAATGGCATTTTTCCGTTTTCAAAAGATTGGCCATACCTGGACCAGAGCCGAGTATTATCTCCGGGAATCTTATGTATATCTTGAGAAAAGTAAGTAAAAACAAAAGTGTTATATTATCAAGACAGATTAATATATAAAAATTGTATACAATAATAATTTCATAAATGATTTTATATATTCTTAATTAAATAAATCTATATTCCAACCGCATTGTCATCGTCTCAATTTTCATACTAGTGTAGGAACAAATGATTGTTTAATATGTTTAACAATGATCAATTTCTTTTTTCAGGGTCATCTTCAGGCAATGGTAACGTGGGGCAAGAAATATGGACGAGTGTTCGGGTAAATATTTTGCTGAATATATATCAGAACCATTTTAGGGAAGACTGCAAAGTCACAAAGCTATTCGAATAAACAAATGTAAAAATTGCACAATTTACAATTATATATGCTGCACTAGTATTTAACAAATAAGAAATAATAAGAAATAGAATCTTTCGACAAAAATGTATGTTTTCCTGTTATTTTATTATAGATTCGCATCATAGTAAACTTAAAGTATAGGTAGGCCAAATAAATAAATGGTAGTTTGTCATATAAGCTCATCTGGTTTGAATATCAATTCAATCAATTGCATTTTTACTTGTTTCAGATACTTCGAAGGGTGGTCTCCTGTAATTGCCGTATCAGATCCGGACATTCTGCGTGAAATTCTGGTGAAGGACTTTAACAATTACCGAAGTCGCAAGGTGTGGTTTCTGTTTTTCTCTATTTTAGGCTGTACATAGGTTACTTAAATCATCTGAAATTATTCAAAACGATTACATTTGAAAAGTTTAAATATTGAAAACTTAAAATATATGAAATCTCACCTTATTACTATAGTAATCCCATGTCTTCCTTCATTCCTTACAGCCATTCCCGTTAGCACCAAGAAAGGCACTTGGTCTGTTTTTAGAAAACGGCGACCAGTGGAAAAGGAGCAGAACATCGTTAACTCCAGCGTTCAGTTCCGGTAAATTACGTCACATGTTCGCAACTATAAATAACAGCGTCGATCATCTTGTTGCAAACACTGAACACAAATGCGAAAAGGAGGAGACATATGATGCATATAGGTAAATAAATAAATACTTTCATTTTATTTCATTTAAGCTATCTGAAAAGACATCGAATTTTGACAAGACTTAAAAGACCAATGATTATGATTTTCCAGTCAAGAAAATTTAAGTAATATTAAAGGGAGATAAAGTCAAAGAGTACAACTGATTGTTGGTCCTTTATTTCTTAGTGCTGCCTTATGCAATGCAATAATATATCCAACCAAATTTAGGCTGTGGTGTTATGTTATATTTCACATATGGCATGTATTATATGTATTATTACATCTAAAACATTGGGAATTATGAGTTGAACTAGCTTAATAATTTCTTTTTTTTCCCGTATTTTCCAGTTTGTTCCAATCGCTGACACTAGATGTCATTGGAAGATGTGCATTTGGACTACAGACGAACGCGCAGACAGACGAAGATGATGATTTCCTCAAAAATATAAGATTCTTGTTTGACGGACTTTCGAAGACGTGTATCCAGCCTTTAGTTAGTAAGTACAAAACATCTAGATGAATTATAAAATTACAAAATATGTTTTGTGCAAATTCAATATACGAGTGTCTAAAACAAATTTCATTTTTTTTTGCGCTGGATGACTTTTGTGTAATCTGACCAAACATATTTGTGTCGGGTATAATGTGCAAAAAAGTCAGATATTAACGAATGGGTATTCTACAATCAGTTAGTCAGGAAGAAAAACTTCTTGGGAGTTTTGCCGATGTAAACGATAACGGACTCTACCAAAACCATATTACAGCAGGTATAATTCAAAGATATTATTCATTTGACCACGCATCATTTCATTACTGTATGAATTTGTCGTCCATTTTCAGTGTTGATGCCATTCCTCTCGTACTTTGTGTTTGCTTTGAAGAACATTGTCTTCCTATTTGGTATGAACCCAGTCGTCTGGTTGAAGAATCAGATGAAAGATGTTGTCAAAATAAGGAAAGAAATTGGGGTATGAATCAATCATTTATCACACATGTTATGACATTTCTTATGTAGATATAATATGCAAATATTTAGAGCAATTTAAATCACTTTTAAATTTCAAACAGATCTGAAACACTTCTTTGTGTCTCATATTTGCAAAGAGGGGAATATCCTAGAATTTTGCTATGGCAAAGCATGTATACATTAATGAAATAGTAATATCTAGGTCCATCTGACAATATATTTGTTATAAAGCTTAAATCATAACAAACAACGTTTTAATGTATGCATCAATTTCAATACATAAAATACATTTGCTTTTCCACTTTAACACTTAAATTGAGGAAATGAGAATGTCATGCTGGTATGGCATTTTACAAACAATAACCATATTTTGTTTATCTCTTACAGTACGATAACGTAAACACTGATCTTGTGCAACTAATGGTGTTTCCTAACGCAGACGGCAAAAGCAGACGAAAAATCCGACCGATGACTGAACGTGAGGTCGTTGCACAGAGCATGACTTTCCTATTGGCAGGATATGAAACTACGTCAGCGGTTCTTGCGTTCCTCACGCACGTGCTCGCAACGAATGATGGCGTACAAGATCGGCTCTGCGAAGAAATAGACGAAACTTTTAAAGGGAAGGAAGTTACATACGAAAAGGTCAATAACATGCCATATTTTGATATGGTCTTAGACGAGGTGTGCCGATTGTATCCAACCGCTTCCTTGTAAGTACTATAGCTCCATTGTTTGTAACTAGAGATACTCTAAAATATTTCAAACTATTCATTTTTATACCAAAAGTATAACAAACTTCATGAATAAGCTAGTTTCCTCAGGATAAACTTCAAATTACGTATTTATGATATTTTGTTTGTTACATTCTAAAATAAATTCTATTGGTATATAATTTTGTTGTTTCAAAGGGGTAAAATTTAATTGCCAAGCAGTAAATCAACTTGAATGCTTATCCATTTCATTTAAGAGTTGTGACGCGAAAAGCTGACAAGACACGGAAATACGCTGGCTATACGTTTCCTTCGGGTATGTCAATTCAAGCCAATGTCTGGTCCTTACATAGAGATGAAGAATTTTGGGAAAACGCCGAGGAGTTTAACGCAGAAAGGTAAATAGATATCATACTGTATTATAGATGTAAAATATTGTTTTCCGTTCATTATATTGTATGCAATAATTTCTAGATTACAACATGCGTAAATACAGGTTTCTTTTGCATTTGTTTGAATTCGTAATAAATAATATCTTAATCATACGGAATACATCGTCTCATGACAAAAATATGCTTGAATAGCAGGTAAGTCATATTTTCAAATTTATTTTACATACTCTTATAACAGTTTCCAATTTTCGTACCACAGGTTTTCTCCCGAGAACAAAGAAAAGATAGTGCCTTACAGTTTTCTTCCGTTTGGTGCTGGGCCAAGAATGTGCATTGGTCAAAGATTTGCAATACTGGAAATAAAAATTGCAATTTCAAGAATTTTACAAAACTTTACATTCACAAAAACAAATGAAACAGAGGTAAGTCTTGATTTAATTATGCTTCATTTTAAATTATGCTTCATTTTAATTACTAGTACAATATACTGACATTCAAGAATGTAGCCGATTTGGCAGGTATTGACAATAATCATGATAAACAATGTTTAATTTCATATAAATTAATTTTCATTTTCATAAATCAATCACGCTTTTAAGTAACTTTGCATTAGTTAAGTTTATATTCTAAATAGAGATAAATATCCCCTTCTTTCTTATTTCAGGATTCCCTAACAATAATTGCACGCGGCGCTGTTGTACCACGTGATGGGGTCAATCTCCGAGTTCATAGACGACATTCAATCTGAGAGGACAATATTACAATCCATTTGTTTCTTAGCATAATCCTTGCATTCTTGAGTATCATATTTGAAGGGAATATTAAGCCAAATAAGTTGTATTTGCATCTCAAGAACATTAGGATGCTCTCGTATCGGCGAAAAGGTGAAGTGCGTTTGATGCCATTGACTAGCATGTGTTTCTTATCAAATCAAAGGAGCTAATATTATGCAAAGATTTATAATTTTAATGATTTCATAATGTTTAAGCTGTGTATTTAAAAACAACAGGTCATTAGTGACGAAAAAGTGAGCAAGCAGATTTCCAACGACATGCACATGTTTAAAAAGTGGGATCACTTTGTTTCTAGATTTTTTTACATTTACTGGTAATTTGAAATAATTTGCTCTTGAAAATTTAGTTATTGCAATTGACCGGTGCTGTGTAGCATTATAGATTTAGCACATTGAAAAACCTTATTCAGACGGTTTTCTTTTAAAAGAGCTTAGATCAGTTTTCGCTTTGTAAATTTTGCTTCCTATACGTGTATTTATAATGACTTATCAACTGTTTAGTACTTTCGAGTTGGCGTATAAAGCACTTAATTGTAAGTTCTTTAGCTGTTTGAAATGTTTTTTCTTTAATTTCTTTAATTATTTGAAAAACATTTTACAAATGTCTACTATGATTAGGCCTGTTCAAATGTATATGACACATTGAATTTTATAGACGTGAACACATTATTATTAGTGAAATGTTAACTCATTTTAAGTGTGATAGTAACTTGGTGTTAGTGCCATGGATATTTCTTGTGAAATACTAACTGATGATGCAATATTTACTGGCTGAGTCTTCCTTGTTGATCTTGTTTTTTTTCTTCAAACTTTATGAACACACCAATGTTGTGTGCTAAAGTCATCGGACATGTGTGAAAGTGTGATTTTATTTTATGTAAACAAATATCAATTAGAATGTTTGGATAATTATTGTCGTTATAGTTGAAACCGCCTGAGATTTTTCTGTTATATGTACATGTATTTAATGTTACTGTGATAAACCAGAATTTATAATTATGTCACTGTGCTGATGTATGTTTAATGCAAAAACTGTATCATATGATAATATAATTAATAAATTATCACAAATTAATACTCTGTTTTAAATGAAAATTTAACTCGGGTTATTATTATTTCCTTTTATGTATATGTTTGTTTGATTGGGATTTACGTCACACCGACACAGTAAAGGTCATATGGCGACTGAAAGAATCCAAAGTCGCTGTCAGGATTCGAACCAACAGTAGTGAGGGACAAGTGGTTTGAAATATGATAAACAAGATCAATAAGGAAAGGCGGCGTTCAATGAACGCAACCCCCACACGACCCAGCAAAATAGAGAAAACAGAATCCCTAAAGAAAGTCCAACACAACATAATTGAAAATGTTTTAATACATAAAAGGTAGGGGCGTCCGTGGCCGAGTGGTAAAGGTCGTTGACTTTCATGGAATGGCACTACTGTGTCACATTGAAGGTTCCATGATAACCGCCGTATGAACACATCTGCGGATGTTTCTAAATTCAAAATTTTACTATTTCATGTTTAAATGTTGAATTCTGCTTAAGCCGGTGCTAGGGGGCGTGGACGGTAACTTGCACTTTCCAGTACCGTCCATGAACAGGCTCAATCAAAACGAGTCTGCAACATTTTCAATTGTGTTGTGTTGGACCTTCTTTAGGGATTCTGTTTTTCTCTATTTTTTGCGTTCATTGAACGCTGCCTTTCTTTGTTGATCTTGTTTATCATATATTTGTTACATTCGTCATGTTTCGATTGTTAACTAGCATTATCATTACGGTGTACTTTACTGGTTTGAGCATGAGTGACAACTGCCATTTTTCAAGAGTATGTTAATTTTTCTGGTTGCAAAGCAAATGTTTTTATCTGGTCTTTCGGGATCATTGATGCCAGCACTATTAAGTGTTGAGAATTGAGTACCGTTCAAGCCGGTGCTAGGGGGCGTGAGGGATGTTGCACGTATTCATTATCCCTCGTGTACAGACTCAATCAAACCGAGTCTGCAATTCTCTTGTAATTTTGTTGTGATTAATGCTTCCCAGGGATCACTTTGTTTCCAGATTTTTATACTACATATACTCAATTTCCAGCTGACGCTCCATTGGATTCTGATTATCGGGTTCTTTTGATGACGAAGGAATTAAAAACATCAACGCTATCGTAAAAAAGGCTTTATAAGAACTGCTGACCTTTGGTGCTTGCCTTATAGCAAGCTTTTCTAATTGATCTGCTTAAATTATCAAAGATGTTGCTCATTCGACTTTCTACCGGAGATTTATCTTGCTTTTCTAATGGTGTCCAGTCAATGTCTGCCTTGTCTTCGTATTTCCTCTCCATCCTTCTTATGTGAATCTAAGTGATGACTCTAACTCTATCTTTACTTCTGTGTCCATGCTTGGACCTATATTTTAGGTCCCAGGTCCATGATGGAAATACAAAGTACCTGAAAATAGCAAAATGATACCTTACAAAATTTCAAATAATACACATGTATGGAACAGAATTAGTGCATTTATTCCATCTTGCTTGATGATATTTGGACTTACATAACGCTTGCTTCCATACTTCTTTATGACAATGGAAACCTACGTATTGCTGAATACAGTCATGCATTATGATTTCATGTAATCGCAACTTCATGTGTCGGTCAATATACAAAAAACGTACAAAATCTCCCAAGGAGTTGCCATCTTGACATGTATCCTTCTTTATTTCAATTGTGGAATAATTAACAAGAAAACACATTTTACTTTGAAATCAGTAATGTAATTTGTATTGAAAATAAACATTTTAAATGGATTAAATCCTTTATTGAACAAGTGTCAATACAAAAAATCATTACCGTTACGCAACAAAAAATAATAAATAAATCATGTTCAAATTGCATTATAAAGAATTAGTTTTTTAAAAAAACATTAATTCTAAAGATACAAAATTGTAAATAAATGACGAGATATATCTAATATTATTCTGCAGTCTATGGGGCATGATGAACTTATCAAAATTATAAATTCAGCAAAAAAAGGTAGTGGAAGATTTTTTCTGTCAACACACCAAGTAGTCTCTTTCGAAAATAAATCAAATTAAAACATATTGATCCAATCATTTGCAACATAAACACTTTAAACTATGTAATAAGTCCATCTGAAATTTAATTTGTAAGGGAATATATCATACGTGACGGTAATGATTAAACGTAACGGTATTTACATAGCACGTAACGGTAGTGAAATCAACAATTTAAACGAAACTGAAGCAATATAGCACATTTAATGTCCAGTTGATTATACATTTTAAATGCACACGTAATCAACCCAGAGGAATGTTCATTTGATAATTAGATTTTTTTTCACAGATTAAGCTCTTTCGCCACTAACTTCCACATTGTTGGTGGGATTTGGCAATGTCTTGATGTAACATGTTCCGGTTTGTCCGTCAGAAGTGTGAGAACTTGTTCTTTGTTATACCATAAGACATCATCGATCATAGGCCAAAAATATCTGTTATTACCTACTCTGTGCATTGCCTGAAGAATAAATAATATGAAGTATAAACATGTACATACATAATTATTACATAATTTAGAATTATGTCAATTATATAAATAAGACACGAGCACATTTTGGTGCATTTTGGTAAATGAGAATTTTGTACCTTAACTTCTATTTCGTCCTCATCAACATCAAGAATAACTCCTGGGAAAGGGAGTCCATCGTATTGTACAACAACATATCGACCAATTAGATTTTCCTCAACAACAGATACTTTGTTCAGCTGCACAACATCAACATTTTTCTCTATGAGTTCCGACATTGTCACCTGAAGAAAACATGATAAAATCATAAAGCGCTGGTTGATGTCCAACAAACGTATTATAATCATGACAACTTCATATTGGGACTTTGTTTGATAACTTGAGTTTACATGTGCAATGCTTTGCAAGCACTCTTCATTCTTCCTTTACAAATTCTAAAATATGTTTGTAAAAAGTTAAATATTTCACAATAAATTGTCACAATGTTTTCTATCTTGTTTTGTCATATCTTAATTTAAAATATATACCTAATAATTGATCATACCTTAAGCTGAGGTACAGTGTGAACATCAGGTTTGAAGCAATTGCACTGTAATTTGGTCGGGTGTTCACAGAAACACGACAGCACTCTAGATGTGAATGAATGTGGTTCCTCCAATACAAGCTGTAAATTAAATTGATTTTGTAAGTATACTGCATAAAATGAAAATAAGTATTACTTTATTACTCATATGCAAATAATTTACTACTTTTACTACTTATATTGTTTTGTATTTTTAACAAATTAGTTATTGCCATAATTAAGCTACATATGTATGTGTGTGTGCGTGTGCGTGTGTGTGTGTGTGTGTGTGTGCATTTATAAGTCTGTGTGTGTTTGTGTGCTATTGAATCATCTAATTTTCTAGTCCTTTTTTAGATATTCAAAATGCCAAGTATATGAAAAATTAAGATATTTACCTGGTGAATTTTCATAGTGCCTTGCAAAGGGGATAGGTTTTCTGGAACATCTTCATCTATCTCACAGATCTTCTCTTGAGGTATAAGGAATAATTTAACTGACGTTGTGTCCTGTATTAAATTTATGAAATCTTTTGCACATGTAATGTCTAATTCTTTAACAATTATAGCTTGGTCAGCAGCTCGCTTCACTGCTGCCCCAATACCATCTGCAGGTCCCTTGCCATGTGCAGCTTTCTAAAAAGTTCCATGTTGACATTTCAAAGCATATATTTGAATTTTTGTTGTCCAAAGATAGAAATTATGTTTATTTCTATATTGGGTTGTAGGCCCGTCACTGACAAAATGGATGCGTTTGTATTTTTTGCCAGTAGTAACATGATTCAGCACTGGGTTCAAGGTGTGCCCATATTGCTGCTGGGTCATGTCTAGGGCTATCAGCTACAGTGCAGAATGGTATTATGTTATCTTTTAGTGTAAACAACACCTGTGTGAAGTGAAATGAAGTTTCGTGAACCACCGAAATGCATTGCTTGAATTTCGTGTGCGTATTTGCAAGCGTAGTTTTCAGAAAAATCAATATGTGCTATCAATTCTTCATGTGTAAGATTTCTTCTCAGATAATGTAGTGCTTTGTACTGATTTCTTATATTAAAAATGTGCCTACACGCCCTTTGCATTTCGTCGTTTATTTCATTTGCAAGAATTAGTCTGGTACCTTGCTCTTGCTGTTTTACAATTTTTGTTACAATTTTTGAGTTTTCATTTTCATTGACTTGCTCTCGCTTTGTCTTCCATTCATGCCAGGTGGTTTGCTTATATAGATCTGTTTCCTTCGCCATGGCTAAAGGTATTTTAAGATCTTTACATTCATTGCATTCTCTGTACATGCATTCTTTGCTTGTATCCTGGCATACAATCGTTTTGATTAAAACATTTAGGTTTTTTGTCTGGACTAAGCCATCTTTGCATGCAGCGTGTAATTTCAAGTTTAAATTATCATGAATTTTACACATACACGTTTTTCTATCCTTTTCTCGGGTTTGATTACCCAGAATGGTCTAAGCTTGCAAAACAAACTGTATGACATTGAATTATTCTCCGATAGATACTTAGCGTGCAATGTTTTCAGGTCGTCAGCTAAAAATCTGATCTGTTTCTTTGTCCCGTTTCTAGTGATGGTTGCATTTTTATCAGCAGTAATTCGCGAAACATCATCTCTTTCAAAATACTCGTGTAATTTTCGTTTCATTCTAAGAGTTTTTATGTTAGGCTTACGAAGAGGTTTTTGTTCAAAGATGTCTTCGAGATATTGCTAATGTTGTATTTGCAAATGTAGTTAGACCATATTGCTTTAATATTCTTTTCCTTGTAACATACCCTGCTATCAATCTTTTTTCTTTATTTGTCTTAGCCATTTTGTATCGTTGTCTTATATTGTTAATCATTGTATTGTACAGCAGGAAGGCCTTCACAGGAAATTTATTTTTTTCTTTATCATTTCTTTGTATCGGGTCATACTTATCAATGCCATGTACTTATGTTTAAGACGGTTGTATCGTTTCTTGTATTTTTCGGTAAGGCGTTCCTGAAACTTGAGCTTTATTTGTAATGTTTTGTTTTTACGATAACACTTAGCTTTGTCATTTTTTCTCTTTCGTGCATATCGTTTTTTCATGCTGCTTGATCTGTTGTTTTCAAGATTTTCCGCTCCTTGGTCATTTTCATATAATCCATGCTCAGGAGAAGTTGGCGGAGTAATCAAGTTATTTGTAACATTTCTTCTTTGTCTGTAATATTTAGAGTTTTCCCTCCAGCGCTTTCGTGTGAGCCTTTTTTCACGAGCTGACATATCTTCTATTGTCTTTAACTTTCCCTCTTCTCGGCGTCTTTTGTTACGCTCTCTCTCTCTTTGTTTGTATCTGGCATGGGCATCTGGGTCTGCCCGCTGTTTCTCGCGCCAACGCGCCATACGCTCTTTTGCTGTGAGTCCCATTGTTGCAGTTGTTTTGTTTTTAATTTTATTAAGTCTTTAGTGTCTGCAATACAATCAGCTAAGTCGCAAACACGTTTCCCCCAGTAAATATCCTTTTCCTCGTCTCGAAGATTTAATAATCTGTAGAAAATGCGCTGTGTGTTTCCTAAATACCGGTCAGTGCTGTTCAATATCACTTTGAACCCTGAAAGTATTGATGATATAATTTAGGAAGAAGGTAAACGTTATTTATTTAAACTTGTGTTATTTTCTATATCTATATATATATATATATATAAATTATTTAATGCCTAATTTATATATATCACTTAATATAATGTAACTTACAATTTTATATCTGATTATCATTACCGTTACGTCAAATATCACTACCGTTACATACTACTATCACAATTTCTGTAACGGTAGTGATTGTAACGGTAGTGAGTATAAACAAAATATTCCCCGCTGGAGAGCCTCTCTATATCACAATGTTTACTATTATACTAGCTACGAGTTTAATTCGGTATTTTCAAACAACAGTAGCAAAAATATTATTATGTTACTAAAGCAACGATCTTAAACATATATAACGGTAATGATATTACTACAAAGCACGTTTTATATGCATATATTTACCTTTAATTTTGTCATCTAGATCGTCCGCCATTCTGGTGGCATCTTCTCTGCTTTTAAAATATTCGCGCCAATAAACTTGTTTACGTCATCAAATGAAGAATTATGAAAAGGGAAGTTACTTTGAGGTTGTTCTTTGGATTATTGTAACGGTAGTGACGCGTATTTTTTCTTGAAAGGGACATTTTTCCTGAACACTTTTTAGAATAATTAGCGTAAATATATCATTTTAATCTCATAATATTCGTAAAATTTGTTGATAAAACATTAGAATTTCAACTATATTTCACGTTGACATTGTATATGCACAAAAATACAATCATTTTAATTTGTGTATTTCTAAATCGGGACATTTTTTTTCTATATGAAAAAAGTATGAATGTTCACAATATTGTCAAATTCTTAAAATAAAAATATTGAAAGACATGTAAAATATTATCTTTCAGTAGAATTAGGATTACAAATATACCTTTGAGAATTTAAATATTTATTTTTCAAATTATATATTTAAGGAAGATCAGGGACATCAAATGTACGTTTTTTGTATATTGACCGGTGTTCCTTTCTGAACCATTAAACTCACATATTTTAATACGCTATATGTTTAATTGCATCTTTTTTAAGGACAGTGTATAATGTTCGGTGTTTAAGATAACATTCTTTGCTTGTTCTTGATATAACTAGATGTAAAATGGTAAGTTCCTGAAAGTACAAATGTTCCTTTAATTTGCTATAAATATGCCACTTACATTGTCGACACTATTTCACAATAAATAATTGCTTTTGAGCAATACTTGGGCGAATTTGACGTGTCTTTGCATTCATATGCTGCAATATATTCACTTATTGGCGACGCCGGTGAGCGGCGTCGTCTATTATGGAACGCTTTTTATTTTTGCCTATGGAAGGAGCTGTTATTATTAGCAGTTAATTTCATGTTGTGTAAATTAGTTTTATTTTGATTCGTAAAAATCAAGTAAACAAATGTGTTGTTATATTTGTATTTAATAACTTTATGTAAAAAGCATGTGCATTGTGATATTATTTTCACGAAATTGCGGGTTAAGTTTAACAGCTTGTCCCTTAGTTTTAATGACAATACTAAAACCCGGATTCGAATATCGTTGTGGTCTAGATTGAGGCCGTATCATTTATACATTTTCAAAATTTTCCTACAAGAAGAAAGTTCACCTGCAATTGAGTATAAGGATAGGTAATGAAACTGTTGTAAACGATTATCCTATTGATTTTTATCCTTATTTACATTTATCTGTTGCGCAGAATGGTTGTTTTTTACCAAAGTGTACCAGTATCCGGAATGTTGAAAGCTATCCGATTTTCTGCAATTACTGCTGACACATGGCCATCTATTTTTTTTTTTATGAATACTTTACCATTAATTTGCATGGCTTGATAAAATTGAACCTGCAACATTTCATAATTTTGCTGTTTATCGTGTTCTTTTGGGTTTCAGGTTTTCTTTATTTTTTAAGGGGAAGTAACTTATGTTTACTAAATTATTTGTTCTTTTCTGTCTATCTTAGGTATTACTTATAATACTATTTTTGTTGTATATAATTCACCAGTTGTAAGGTCATCAAAAGCATGTTAATGTTAATGTTAGGATTAAATATTTATTTAATATAAACTGGGAATTATTAATATTATGTGCATGTACATGTATTATCTTAGACAGTAGTATATATTGATATGGTTGAGACTTATAATTTTTTCTGCATTTAAAGAGATACAGTTATGTCATTATTATTAAAAGGGATGAGACTTTCATTTAAAGTTATAAATGATAAAACATGTATTGATTGAAAATGTCCTTTAAACTTGGATCAAGCAATATAAATTAATAAAGTCTCAAAAAATCATATTCTGAATTCTAACATGTGCATAGTTTGAAAAGGACAGCTTCTGTTTATCTATTTGTAATGAAGAGACACCGGTCTCAACCTCCAGGTTTCCCCTGAGTCAACGCGACAACAGACTGTACATAGAGTAGATTGTTACTTGCCCTTGAATAAATTTGTGCACTAAATTTATAGTGGGTGATTTGTGCCACATGAAACCAAAACATAGTACAAAAAAGTAACTGGGCGCCAGATGAAAACATGAAAATATTACAATCTACCACAAAGTGGTTTTGTTTGTAGTGCATTTTCATGTTTTTGCCCGGTGCCCTTGATGCAAAATACAAATCACGCTTCATAAAATTTCTTCTTATGTTGGTCACAGGTTAATGAGTTCTGGTCAAGCTCAAAAGTTTTTTCTCATCCTATGACTGCAATATAAGCATGAGTTTTCAATTTCCTATATGCTCTGTAACATAAGAATTCACGAACACAAAATCGATATAGTGGGGAAATATGTTGTGGTTTAGAACTGTTTCATTATTGAAAGAGAAAATGTTTTTTGTAGCAGGACGGATAGCTCAGTTGGTCTTCTGAAAGCAGTGGGTTTGAGTCATGGGTCAGGCAGTTTCAGTCAGGGTTTAGAAGTGGTTTTTTCAATTGACACATGTTTGATTCATTTAACAGATTGCATTATTTGAAATGGACAAAGGCCAGTATTGCATGATACTTTTAGATCTACAAAGGGCATTTTGATACAGTTGAACACACTATCCTGCACATGAAGAAGTTGTTTTTCTTCTTCTTCATGAAAACTTCAAGCATCTGCCATATATAATGACATTCTTACATGGTTTAAGTCTTATGCTCTGATAGTAGCTGGTTGATGTGGCTGGTACTTATTCTACTACTGCTCTGAGTACCTATGCTGTCCCCCTGATTTCATTTTAGGTCCTCTTTTATGTCTAAATATGTCAATTACATGATCTTCAACCCTAAGCAATAAGCTTTATATTATAATGCACAGGCACGAGTATCAGACCCTTGGAATGAAAAAAAAATGGCCAGATTGATAAAAAAACTGTGTTCATCTTAAAGTGTCAACAACCAAAAAAAATGTAAATAAATGACCCCCTTTAAAAAAATATACCTTCAAGTTGAAAGTATATTTTAAAGGGGCTCATTATTTACATTTTTTATTTTTGGTTTTTATAAACACAGTTTTTTTTTTATCAATCTGGTCATCTGGTCTATTTTTTCTCCCCAGGTCCGATACTCGTGCCAGTGATTATATGCTGATGACTCAGGAATCCTTGTGTCTCAATAAAATTAATCTGAAGAATTCTTTCTTTAACATGAGTCTATAAGATTGCTTAATTGACTATAAATTGCCTTTGCATCTTGGCAAGACAGAGTCTATTCTTTTTTGGTTTAAGTTTCAACTTAACCTGGCCCTAGCCTCCAGGTCACATGTAATGGTACTGCTATAAAGTACACATCTTTTGTTAAGTATTTAGGTGCAAATCTGGATCAAATTCTTTTGGCGTCGCCCTTTGATGCTTTGCATCAATGCTTTTCTTGTTATAAATATAATGCAAGACATGATCAGTGCGCATTGACAACGAAGATGACAACGATAGCATTATTATAATCGCACGTTACAGTACGCACTAAGCAGTTTGCAGTAAGCATAATGCGAGTTGCAATATTTTGTTTCATATTATGAAGCGGGGTTTTTG